CACGCGCGCCCTTCTGTTCTCCAGCTGCCTGGGTTGTGTAGGGCCTGATGCCCACTGGTAACTGATGTGGGTGCAGGACAGGGGCCTTGCTAAGCTTGGGGAGAGCAGAGAAGTCCGTCTCCTCTTTCCCTTTCTCCAGAGCAGCCCCATCTCTCACCCCCAGCAACCACCCAACCTGGGCAAGGACCCGGGCAGCACGGTGACCCCAGCTTGCACTCCCCAGGCCTGCCGCCGCCGATCTGCTGAGCAGCCTGGAGGACCTGGAGTTCAGCAACCGGCGCCTGGCCGGGGAGAACGCCAAGCTGCAGCGCAGTGTGGAGACGGCCGAGGAGGGCTCCGCACGCCTCGGGGAGGAGATCCTGGCCCTGCGCAGGCAGCTTCGCAGGTGAGCTGTGCGCCTGGCTGCCTCCATGGCCCCGGCCCCAGCCTCCCCTGCATCTCCCGCTTGGGCTTTTTGACTACATCTCTGCCTTTCTCATCTTTCTGTCTCTCAGCTTTCTGTTTCATATCTCAAAGTTCCTGTCCCCCAGCCATTCTGGTTCTGTCTTTTCCTTTAGAGGTGGACCTCGCTCCCCCAACCCAGTACTCACAGTTGAACCCAGTGCCTTTCCAGTGAGCTGCATCCCTAGCCAGTCTCACTATGTAGTTCAGGCCGGCCTTGAACTTTTGATCCTCCTGCCTCAGCTTCCCAAGTGCTGGGATTATAGGCATGGACTCCTCTATCCTTCTTCTCTCTCAGATCCTCTGTGCCATTGGCCTTGTCCTTCCTCTGTGCTTGTTGTGCCCTGTGTCTGTCATCGTCTTCCTCTTTTAGTCTCCCACTTTTAGGTTTCTGTCCCACCTCCTCAGTCTTTAGGTTGAAATTGGGTCTCTGTAGCCCCTGCTGGGTCTCTGTCCTGCCCTTCCTCTCTGGGCCTCTCTCCCCTCCCTGTGTGTCTTGGTCTGCCCCACTCTGAGTGTCTGCCACTGCCCTCCCCACGGTGGTATTTCTATGGCTGCTGTCTGTCCGAGTAGATCTCTCCGTGCATCTCTACCTTCCCCTCCTCACATGGCTCCCGGCCCTGCCCAATCAGCACCCAGCAGGCTCTGCAGTCCGCCAAGGCCGTGGATGAGGAGCTGGAGGACCTGAAGACGCTGGCCAAGAGCCTGGAGGAGCAGAATCGAAGCCTCCTGGCCCAGGCCCGGCAGACGGTGGGTCCTGGGCCCCTTCCTTCTTTCCTTCCTGGAGTCAGAGCAGTTGCTCCAGGTCCTGCTCACTTTCTACCTACCACCACTACCACAGTGACTGCAGGACCCATTCTCCTGGCCCTGGGTTGGGTTGGGTGGGGTTTAGGTTTTATTGTTTTTGTTTTTTGAGACAGGGTTTCACTTTGTAGTTTAGGCTGACCTTGAGCTCACTTTGTAGCCCAGGCTAGCCTCAAACTCACGGTGATCTTCCTGCCTCAGCTTCCTGAGTGCTGGAATTGTAGGCATGTACCAACCTGGTTTGGTTTGGAATCAAGGTCTTTCCCTCTAGCTTAGACTTCCTTCTAACTCACAGCGATCCTACTGTCTCAACCTCCTGAGCGCTAGGATTATAGATCTGAGCCACCACACCCAGTTCCTGGCCCTGTTCTTTAATGACCCAGGCCGAGGAGGGAAGTTATGGAGGCAGAGAGTGGAAATGAACCCTTTGTCCTCTCTGGCTTGGTCAGGAAAAGGAGCAGCAGCACCTGGTGGCGGAGGTGGAGACCCTGCAGGAGGAGGTGAGCCAAGGCCCAGCACCACCTGTCCCCCTGCCACGCCAACCCCTGTGGCCTGCAGCCTAACAACTTCACACTGCAGGCGGGACCGGGCAGCCCGACAGTGTGCGAATGTCCTGGGCAGCGTCACACAAAATAAGAGCTGCACAGGTGACCGAGCTTGGGCTCGGGAGGGTGCCTGGCTTGCCTGAAGCCTCCTAGGCGGCTGTGGACCACTGCTCCTCTTGCTGTGGCGCGGTGTCCTCACTGTGCAGGTGAGCAAAGCAGAAGACACAGGTAGACGTGAAGGACATGCTTGCGAGGCGCTGGCTAGCGCCGTTTATTGTTATCACTACTTATGGTAAAAAGAAGGTGGGCTTTGAAGTCAGCCCTCAGTTCAGATCCCCTTTCTGCCACTTACACAACAGGCAACTTTAGGCTTGCGGCCTATCCTTTCAAAGCCTTATTTTGTTTCTGTTTTCCAGTGCTGGGCACAAAACCCAGGCCTCAAGTGTGCTAGGCAAGGGCTTCACCCTTGTGCCACCCCCCAACCCCCCACCCCCGCTTTAGTTTGATTCTCCAAGAACCAGAGAAGACCTGGCTATTCCATGGTGCTGCCGTGAGGAACACCAACACTCCTGCCGGGGCCTACCTACCTCAGCGAGTGAAGTTCAGCCTCACGTCTAATCGAAGCCCCATTTCATGAGACAGAAAATGTCATCTTAGTTCATTCTGAGCCCACTTAGTTCTTGTGGACGGAACTGGAATTCGTCGGCAATGGAACTCATCGCTGCTGCCCACTCCTCCTCCCCGAGGTGGCATCTGAGTTGCAGGGGAGCCACACGAGGCCCTAGTGCTCCAGGAAACCGCAGGTCTTCGCTGGGAATCTGTCCTCTCCGCTCTTCAGGAGATGCACGATCTTTCTCCCATCTGTTCTCAGCCTCGGGGAGGCCCGCACTTTCTGCCGATCTCTGCACTCACAGTCCTCGCTGCGCCTGCTGGTGGCGCCCACAGCCATCTGCACACCCTTCCAGGGGCCATAGGAGATCAGCCACTTCCTGTGGGCACACAGGGCCTTGCCAGGTCTCACACAGCATCTATTATCACTACCCAGCAGTGGGTCTGAGCTGGGCTGGGAAGGGTGCAGAGCGTCTTAGATTCCTAGACTTTCCAGGGCTCTGCAGTTCTGTGTCCAGCCCCTCCAACTCTCACAGCTGAGGGGCTTGAGGCTGGCCCAGGACTCATTTTCAGTCTCCTGCCTTTTTTTTTTTTTCCAGTACTGAGCTTTGCACTGAGTTACATCCCCAGCCTAGTGTTTATTTATTTTTGTTTGTTTGTTTTTTCCGGTACCGGGAATCGAACTCAAGACCTCGCGCTTGCCAGGCAGGTGCTGTGCCTCTGAGCTAAATCCCCAGCCCCTATTTTTTATTTTGAGAGAAAGTCTTGCTAAATTGTCCAGGCTGAAGTCTCACTTACGATTTCCCTGTCTCAGCCTCTCAGAGTGCTGTGATTATAGGCATCGTTTTCTCTTAACTCTTCAGCATGCTCCCTCAGCTCTGAGTGTCTCTGCCTGGTCTGGGTGGATCATGTATTCTGTCCAGAGCTCTTAGTCCTACCTCTGTACAGGTTTTTTTTCTTTGATATCCTGATTTTTTCCACTATGCCATGGCTCTTCTGTCAGCCCCCACTTGGGGCAGTGGGAACTACACAGCAGGTGGCTGCCCCAGTGTGAGGCGTGGAGCATGGACAGGATGTGATGGTTTCCTCCAGAGCATATTTTCTAGGAATAAGGAAAGGTTCTTCCTGGCAGCACCTGCTTCCTCACATCTCACAGCATCTAAACATGATAGCTGATAGTCAGATTGGTCCCTGACACAGATAACCTGGCCACTGAGGGGTTCCGAACACTTTCAGCTCCCAGGATGAGGACCTCTGAGGAAATGGTGGCTTCAACCTGAAGGACACTTACTTACTTAAGAGATTCTGAAGGATGTGGTCCCCGGATTGGTTCATTAGCTCACTGGCTTTTTCATCTGCTTCTAGCCTCATGGTCATAAGCGGCTGCAAGAGCTCCTGACCTCACATTCTCATTCAAAGCCAGGAGAGGAGGCCCCAGCAAATACCTACCCAATGGCACCTTGTTCATCAGAAGGAAGAGCCTTCTCCAGAGGCCAGCTGCCCCATTCCCCACCCTGCATGGACCCCTCTAATGCACATATTCTCCCCACCCCATGCAAAGGAGGATGGCAGATAACCTGATCTTTAATCACTAGGATGTGAGGCAAATAAGGAACAAGAATGGCTGCTGGGTCTCCTGAATCTGCCAAGATGCCCCTTTTCATTCACCTCCAGGGCTAGGGCTGGGACTCACCTGCCCTTGGGCGTGAGAGTGGATCCTTGAGGACCACAGAAGTGACAGGCAGGGGAGTGGCAACCAGCAGTCACCGCCTCCTGCGCAGAAGGCCCCTCCAGGCTGAGAGCAGCCGCCTCAACCAGCAGTGCCCTAGGCGCCAGCCTGCTCGATAAACTGCAGCTATTCTCGGTCACCACCCTCACGGCGGCGGGTGCCAGCGGAGCGGCTACAGATTGAGTTCTCGGGTTACATTAGGGAGGATAATGCCTGCCCCCTGCCCGTAATGTGACACCCGCCCGCCCGAAGCGACAAGCGGCCTTCTGAAGGAGGATGAGGCGCGCTGGCTCTCGGGTTTCTGCAGGAGCAGCTGAGTAACCAGCACCCCGTCGAGGGCCTGGGATCTGGCCCGCAGTCCCCACCAGGTGGACAGATGTTGACACAGCACTCCCGCCCGTCCTTTTCTGCCCTTCACCTGGCAGCCCAGGCCCGCTGAGACCGAGCAGAGAGAGGGCGGCTGATGGAGGACTTGGAGCCCAGCCGGCAGGAGCAAGGGCGGAGCTGGCGTTGGTGTCCCCAGGGCGCCAGAGAAGGGCTGTGCCAGAGGAACTCTGGGATGCCTCTGCCGCTGCCTGATGCCCCTCCTGCAGCAGCTTCAGCTCCATGCAGCTTGGGAGGCTTCTGGTGGTGGAAACATTAGGCTGCAATTTGGACCAGGTTTCGTTTTGCTTTGCTCTGTTTTGGCAGTACTTGGAGCCTTCACATTCAACTACATCACCAGCCCTTTTCTATTTTGTTTGTTGAGACAGGGTCTCACTAAGTTACCAGGCAGGGCTTGAACTTGCGATCCTCCTGCCTCAGCCATAGAGTGCTGTCCGTTTCATTCTGAAATCCCATTCTGCTGCTGGCACAGGATGCCCTCTCCTGGCCTCTCTGCTTCCCTCAGAGCTGCAGTCCAGACACCCCCGCTGCCAAGGTTGCAGTGGGCCGCCTGGGGCCCAACTCTTGAATTTACATTGGCACCCTCTGCTTCGGGCCATCTCTGCTTTCCCTGCACTCCCATGGCCAGGGTGAGGCTGTTTCCCTCGGTGCCCCATTCTGATCCAGCACCACATCTGGTATGGGGAAGAGTCTGAGGTTACAACAGACAAGGGATTTGGACTCACCTCACTGGGGTTTGCATCCGCTTCCCCTTGGTGTGAGCTTGGTCAGGGTTCTTACACACACACACCCCGTGCTCCTCTGCGGAGCTGGGAGCAATGGTGCTGTTCCTAGCTGGGGTGGAACACTGCACAGGAGCCTGCTCGAGGTCCTGGACAACCATCACCACCAGGAGCAGGAAGGATGCCAGCCAAATCCAAATGTACAGTGCCACAGGACAAATGACCTGGACTCTGCCACAGATGAAATCCCAAAAAGTACCTGTGAGAGAAATTACTGTTAGGTTAAAAGAAATGACACATTTCAGCCAAAGGCAGTGGCAGGCCTTGTTTTGATCCTCTTTCAGCAAACAAAACTGGGCATGGTGGCACATGCATGTTAGCCCAGCACTCAGGAAGCTCCAGGAGGTTCCAGGCCATAGAACTATGTAGCCAGGGGCTACAAAGGGACTTCGGTGCCAACCTGAGCCACGTGACGAGATCCTATCATAAAAAATTGTAACACAGAGCTAAGTGTCTGTATGAATATATACTGTGGACACTGCTGGTAATGTTTGTGCTCACTAGCATTCGTCAACTCGTGTTGTGACCGGGGCCAGTTGCACAGCCTTTCTGTGCCTGAGTTGCCTTTGTCTTTAAAATGGGGACTAAAAGCCAGGTGTGTTGGTGCACACCTGTAATCCCAGCCTTCGAGGCCGAGGCACGAGTCATAGGTCAAGGCCAACTTGAACAGCGTAGTGAGACCTTGTCTTAAAAAGACAAAAAATAACAATAAGATGGTGACTAAGAACTGAGTTGATGTGTGAGGTGCTCAGTAAGTGTCAGAAAATACTCATTTACTCCTCGCATTGACCCCAGGAAGCAGGTCCTTTTTATCTTCCTCCCCCACCCTCACTCTTGTACTACGGATTAAACTCAGGGCCTAGTGCTCTACCACTGAGCTCCATCCCCAGCCTGTTTTATTTTGAGATGAGTCTCACTAAGTTGCTCAAGCTGGACTCAAACTTGGGATCCTTCTGCCTCAGCCTCCCAAGTAGCTGGGACTACAGATGTGTGCCACCACACCTGGCTCCCTTTTGATTGATGGGGTGCACAGAGAACTCGGAGCTGAGGCCCCACCAAGATGGTGGGGTATTGAAAGGGCCACACATAGAATGTGCTTAGTGTGAGGCTGACACTGAGTTTTCAGCACATGGCAGCTGTTAGCATCAGCGTCGCCAAGGCTGAAGCTGACTGTCGTGCGTACTGTTCTCCTCCAGAACGGGAAGCTGCTGGCCGAGCGGGACGGAGTGAAGAGGAGGAGTGAGGAGCTGGCCACAGAGAAGGACGCTTTGAAGGTGCTGCCTCTGCCTGCCGCTGGACAGCTGCCCTTCCTGGGGCCACTGTCACCATCCGGGTTCAACTGCTGAGGCCGACTGAGCATAGGGCCCCGCTGTCAGGATCCAGCTCTCCAGGCAGCCCCACTGAACCCCCTCGGTGTAGCTGACCTCCAGGCTATCACGGGAGGCTGAGGAGAGGCGGGGGAGGGGAGCAGGCAGGGGGCCAGGCCAGGGCGTCCTGGAGGCCGGAGAGACGGACGGGCTCCTTCCTTGGCAGCGGCAGCTCTATGAGTGTGAACGCCTCATTTGCCAACGGGACACCATCCTCTCCGAGGTGAGGGCCTGGGAGGAAGATATTCGCCCTCCATGCATATCTGCCCCTCTCCTATGGTGCCTGAGCGGCCGGAAGGTGTCCCTGAGGTCACCAGCATGGTCCATGGGATCTGGAATCCGCTCTGCCCCGGCTGTCGCCTCTTAGGCCCCAGCCAACCCCGCTACGAGCAGCCTTAGTGTCTGGGGCCTGGCCCTGGACTCAGCTGGCTTTGTGCTTTCCCAGCGTGTACGCCACGCCGAGAGCCTGGCCAAGACGGTGGAGGAGTACAGAGCCACCACCCAGGTCAGCGCCCTGCCCTCCTCGCGCCCCTGCCCGTCTCGAACTTCCTCCCCTGCCCTTCCCGCTGTCTTCCTCCCTTTCTCACTCCCTGTCCGTCCTTCCTCTCTGACGTCTCAGGCCATCTCCATGCAGCGCTTCTGTCTCTGGGCCACTCGGGCTTCTGTCCTTGGGAGTCTCTCACATCCTGTATTTCTCTTGCCCCTCTGTGAGTCTGTGGCCATGAGCACCTCACTTTCCGGGGGTCCCCCCCTCTGCCCAGCTTCCCGTGCTTTTTTCGGCTGCGGCCCTCTCTGTCTTCAGCTTCCTAAGTGTGTCAGTGCTCACCCTGGCCCCTTGGCCTAGTGCTGGGGCAGTGAGTCTGGCAGCGGAGAGGATGGAGAGGACGTAGGTGGGGCCGAGTGGAGAAGCCAGTGACCCTGTGCTTGCCTCCCCTGCAGGAACTGAGGCGGGAGATCTCCCACCTGGAGGAGCAGCTGAGTCAGGCCCAGGAGGCGCCGGATGAGTGAGTGGGTGGTGGGGAGTGGGGTGGGGACAGGCAGGCAGGGCCTCAGGTGCGGGCTGGCGGTGGCAACAGACGGAAGCAGCACCCCGTCTGTGTGGCCAGGCTGCTGGAAGGGGCCCAGACAGGAGGAGCGGGCTGGACCACGCCACTGCCCGCGTCGCTGGGCTTGGAGCTTGAGGCCATTTGGCAGGTAGGCCTGGCACCCCTGGACGACACTGAAAGCCACAGGACAGAAACCCCAATGTCTCCCCACTCTGATGCTCACATCTGACCTGGCCCATGGCCCCAGAGCTCTCCGGGGAGCCCCTAAATCACACTGCTGCCAAAGAGCTGCCCACCCTAAACTCAGCTCTCCTCATACTCTGTCCCTACCCCAGGTCTGTTGGCAGCGCAGGCCCAGGCTGACTCGGCCCTGTCCCATCCACCCCAGCAGCCATCACATTCCTTAACCTCGTCCTCACCCTGACCCTTCCCTGGTCCTGCTCCCGCGCCCCAGCCCCAGCCTCACACCAGGCCTCTCCTACCCCTGCCGTCTTCCCAGCCCTACGCCTGCACCTCCCTCCACCTCTGCCCCAGTCTGGCCTGTCCTGATCTCAGAAATGACTTCTCCTTCCCAGAAACAAGAAGTGGCCCGTGCCGATCTCTCCAGTCCCCTGTGTGGAGTGTGGCAGTGGGGAGAGGTCACTCAGGAGCCCAGTGAGGAGCCTGAGGTCCCATCTGAAGTCTCAGATGGGGGGCAGGTGAGCAGAGGGGGACGCAAGGCCGCAGGAACCCCTTCACACCTTTGCTTGCCGCCCACTCCATGAGCAGATGTTGCTTGAGAGCCCGCTGTGTGCTGGACCTCAAGCCCCAAGCCAAACAGGGACCACCCCTGCCCTCCGGAGGGACCCGCTCTAAAGCAAGCACAGATCGTATGGTTTGTTTTGTTTTTTTTGTCTTTTTAAGACAGAGTCTCGCTGTGCCATTCAGGCTGGTCTTGAGCTCACTTTGTAGCCCAGGCTGGCCTCGAACTCATAGCAATTCTCCTTCCTCAACCTCCTGAGTGCTGGGATTACAGGCATGCACCACGCAAGCACAAATTGAATGGTGGCTTCTACAAATTTTCTTTTTTATAAAACATTGCCAGGAATCATCTTATTTAAAATTATAGCTCAGTGTGGTGGTTCACACCTGTAATCCCAGCACTCAGGAGACTGAGGCAGGAGGATCACTGGGAGCTCAAGATGAGCCTGAATGACATAGTGGCACCATTTCTCAAAAAAAAAAAAAAGCGAAAGTACTTGGGAGGCTGAGGAAGGAGGATCGCTGTGAATTTGAGGCCAGCCTGAGCTACATAGCAAGACCCTGTCTCTAAAACAAAACAAAACAAAACAAAACAAAACAGAGAAAGAGAAGAATATTAAATAGTTCAAGGAATGAGACCCTTTCGGGCAGCAGGAGCAGCCTTGGGGGCCTAAGTCCACATCACACTTTGGAAGTCTGGGTAGTAGTGAGGGATGAGGCCAGGCCAGATGACGAAAGGAATCCCTGTCAGCCTGAGAGATGTGCTTTTCTCTGTGAAACCACAAAAAAGCTGAGGGCGAGGGGGAGCAGTGAACTCCAGCAGGAAAGATCCTGCTGGGCTGCGTGAGGGACCAGCTGGAGGCTGGAAGGCCGGGGCTAGAGCGTGGAGATGGAGAACAGGGACCCATGGCACAGGTGGGATACACGGGGCTAGGGCTGGACAGGCTTCGGGGATGAGTGACGAGAAGAGGATACCCAGGAGGCGACACCTGGAGGTCCGCCCGGCAGCCACCGCAGGCAGCTGGGCGACTGAGCTGGAGCACAGGAGTGACTGTGTTTGGAAGGCGGCATCAGGTCGTTGACCAGGGTCAAGACCAGGAGGTGGTTCTGGGCAACGCAGAGGCCCTGGGTCCTGAGGAGTTGGGAGGGGCCCCGGGGCTCCTTCCAGCTAGTGAGGCGGAGCGATTCGTGGACATCCAGGGCTTGGGGGACCTTGAATTCTGGGTCCTGCTGGAGAGCACGTGGGAGAATCAAGAACAACTGTCCTGCCTGCGGCTTCTGTCCCTGGGAGGGTGACAGAGTGGCTGTCAGTGGGGGCACAAGAAGAGGGCTTGGAAGGTGGTGAATTCACGGGGGGGGGGGGTGGTACACAGGGTCTGGGACACCTGCAGGGGAGAGCAGGCACCATGGAGTGGCAGGAGTGAGGGACTCGCCCTTTCTGTTCCCACAGAGAGATTCCGAGGGAGAGCCGGCATGCCCTGAAGGAGCGAGGAGGGAGCTGTCCCAGTGGTAGGGAGCGTCTTCCTCATGAGCAGCCTTCTGCCCCCCAGTGACACCCATTCATCCCGCGGTCACGCCCCATTCGTGGATGGGTGTCACTCCTTCACTCAGAGCCTTGGTGGGGGGCCGCCGGCCTGTGGACCAGGCATGGGTCAGTGTCTCACGCTCTGGGGAGTCAGACCAGACCCAGACAGCTCCAGGAGGAGCTGCAGTGCCTGGAGGGGGCGACCCTGAGGACGAAAGAGGAGTTGGTGCAGGAGCTGTGTAGACAGGAAGCAGGTTGGCCACCCTCCCGCTGAGCACACCCTCCTGGCCTCCAGGAGGCCCCCCAGGAATGAGGCCCCGCCTCAGTCACCTTGCGCTGGGGCTTGGCAGTGCATCCAGCTGTACCCCTGAAGCCCAGCGTGGTGACTGAAATGTGATTGTCACAGGCTGTGTCCATGCCTCTGGGCATGTAGAACGCATTAGATGCTGGGCTGCCCTGGGACCTCTGGTTTCCGGTGGTGTCTCCCTCTCCCGCCTCCAGTCTCTGCCTGGGTGCCTAATGAGGCTGCCCTCGTGGCCTCTGATTGGACTTGTCTGGGAGGCGCTGAGATTCGGCAGGCTGGGGGCTCTGAGCCGCGGAGCAGAGCCTGGTGGGGGGCAGGGCTGGTCCCAGAAAGGGTGGGAATCTGGGAGTGAGGAAGGAGGCAAAGGACAAATACTGTGGCCCCGGAGCTGGCCAGGTTGAAGCCTGAGCTTGACAGGTTTGGGAGACTAAACCACCCATGTCCAGAGTAGAAGTTTTAGGAGACAAAGAGCTGGGGGTGGGGGGCTGGGCTCGCAGGCACCTGATGCTGCGTGGGGTGGGGGCTGAGGGAACAGCTGTCTCTGGGGGTGCGTGTGGTGGGGGCAGCTGCAGGGCTGGGTGCCTGATCCCAGCGAGGGCAGGGAGTGGTGCTGTGGACCTCTGGGTACAGAGAGGCACTGGCGGGCTCAGCTGGCCGAGGCCCAGGAGTGGCAGAGGCTGGGCTTTGGAGGTGATTTGGGTGGGGGCAGTGCCCGGGCCTTAAAGATGTTAGACGGAGACGCCCCGAACGCTCAGTGCTGTCAGTGGTGTGCGTGTGGTGCAGCGGCACACTAGGGTGTGGGAGGTGGGAGAAGCCAAAGCCTCCGTTCACCTGGAAAGCACTCGGTGAGAACTGTCCTCTGAGATAAAGAGGGTCCCTTGCCCTTGGAGGGGATCGCAGTCTGGCGAGTTTCATGGCCATTCTGAGAAGCATGGGCGTGGAGGGCCCATCTGTGCTGGGGCCCCACCTGCTTTAAAGGCTCCCCCGCAGCCTGCTGGGGCAAAGGGAGCCAGGCGGAGGGGGAGGAGGAGGCTTCCAGAGACTTCCTTGCCTTCAGGTTGCCCGGAAGAGAGGAAGCAGAGGCAGAGGAGGAATCAGAAGGGAAGAGCTGGCTCACGGTAGGCAGTCCCAGCACCCCTTACCAGCACCCCTTCAGGCCCCCCATTCACTCCACTCCCCAGCTAACTCCTCCCAGCCCCACCCCTCCTCAGCTCCTCCAGAGCGGAGAGAAGCATCGCCAACCGTCTTGAGATAACCAGGCCTTCCCAGTGGCTGAGGTGGGGACAGCCAGAATGTCCCCAGGAGACCCCCCCAGCCAGCCCACAGGACTGAGCCCACACCCCTGGATTGTGTGAATGCACAGTGTCGGGGGTCCACGTGCGGGTGGGCAGCCATCCTCAGCTGCCCTGTCTCCCAGCCAGTGCCCCCTCACTTCCCTACATGGGGGGGCTACAACCCCAACTGGGTTACCGTGGGGAGGGAGGGAAACTGGGTGAGAAGCCCACGGTGTCCATTTGCGGCGGGGGAGAGCCAGCCTGGCTGCGTCCCTGGCCCCCTCAGGATACTGCGACACTCTGGGGCCCGCACTGTGCCAGCTCAGCGTCTGCGCAGCTGTTGTGGTGATACCATCAGCTCTCTTGTCAGGACCACGCAGTGAGGGGCCTGGTCTCACACCTGGCACAGCGGCTGGCAGGGGGTGAAGACGTAGCTGGGGTCTGTCTGCTTTTCTCGTTGCCTTATTGGTGTCATCATTCCTGGAGCAAAGCTGTGGGGGTGGGAGGGCACAGACCCGTGCAGAGAAGGCCCTGCCAGAGACGCCGGCAGGAGGCCTGGGCACAGGCATGGACAGTCTGAGGCCCACAGTGTACAAGGCCTGGCGTGGGATTCACACCTGCAGAGGTCCTGGCACTGCCGTGGAGACTTAGAAACTCCCAGAACCAGCTGGGACGTGAAGATGACGACATGAAGCACTCGCGCAGTCCTGAGTGCTCCCTGCAGTCAGCCCTCTTCTGAGCCCGTCCCACTTTTTTTGTTTTTTTGAGCCAGGGTCTTGCTGTGTAGCTTAGGCTGGCCTTGAACTTGCAGTGATCCTCTTGCCTCAGCCTCTCGAGTACTGGGACTACAGGCTGTGTGCCAGCACACCCAGCTTCCTGCGTTCACTCCTCTAGTCTTCTGTGAGGTGGGGACTGTCACATCCCTGACAGGTGGAGGGGTAAAGTGAGGCAAGGAGGTGCGGCATGACCTGCCAGAGGACGCGTGGCCAGAAGTTGCAGAGCTGGGGCTCCTGCCTGACACTGTGTTCCAGAGATGTGTGCCCACTGCATCCAGGGGACTGGCCCCCGGCCACTGCCAGTCCAGGACCCAGCACCCCAGGGGTGTCTCCTTTATCCTCCCAGGCCGATCCGCCCATCCTTCTGAGAGACCCTCCCCCTGGAGACATCACAGAGTGCCCTCCTCAGAGGTAATGTGGCCCACAAGGACTGGAGGGGACGTGGGGGCAGAGGCGGGGGGTAATTCCTTCCCTCTCTGTCTCCACAGTCCTGCTGAGCGGGTGCTCCAACAAGCCCTGGTGCCCGTGGTGAAGGAGCTGGTCCCAGTCGGGAGGCCCTGGGGCCAGCACTGCCTGTCCCCGATGTGTCCTCAGCCGCCCAGGTGTGCCCTCGAAGCATCTCGAAAAGCCGGGAGGTGCCAGAGCCGGGGAGGCCATGGCTCCCACGCTAAGCCCTCTCCTGCCTCCCCCAGGGCCACTCGGCACCCGCTGCTCCCTGCCCGGGTCCTCGGCCCAGTGCTGCTGCTGCTGCTGCTGCTCTCAGTGCTGCTGCTGGGCCGGGCCCCGCCGCCCGCCTGGCCCCACCTGCAGCTCTGCTACCTCCAGCCGCCGCCCGTGTAGGTGCCACCTCCCTCACCCCTGCTCAGCCTTGTCACCGCCTGCCAGCCCTGCGCCCCCAGAGCCAGTGCGGGGGCAGCCATGTCACTGCTTTGGGTATTTATGTGATGTCTCCAGATTTCCTACTACTGTGACTCCATTTCTTAACAAAAACAAAATGCACCCAGTAATGGCTTTGAGACTGGATTATTTATCTCCTTGACACATAGGCTGGAGGAGGGAGGGTCGTGTGGCCAGGGCCTCGGCAGTTCTGCGGCCCTTTCCTCATGCACAGATGACAGCTGTGATAGCTCCCAGCATCCCATCGGGAGCCACCCGTCCCCGTGCTGGGAGGGAAGCAGGTGCCCCTCCAGGGCCGGGCATGTTGCTGCCCACATGCGCCCCTGTGAGTGGGGGGCCCTGGGCAGGCAGGTAAGTGGGCATGGAGGTGGCGGGGAGCGCTGCAGTACGTGAGGGCCCACAGACCACAGCCAGAAGCCCCTGGCCCTGCTTTGCTGAGCTGAAAGGGCTCGTGGGCTCCGACTTCTCCCTCCTTTCTACCTGGTCTCTACCACCACCCTGCCCCCGACCGAGTCCTGGTTGCCCTCCACTGCCCCTTGGTCAGGAGCCCAGGCTGGTCCTGTCCTAACTGCACCCTAGATCCGCAGAGAGCCGTCTTCCACTGCCCACCAAAGCCTCCCCTGGTTCATGCTGAGCGTCGTGGCTTAGCTTTGCTGTGTTAACGATGCTAAAAACCCCTTCCCACCGTGAGCTGGAGACTGGAGGGGAGTGGGTGGAGACCGAGAACCCCCTTCCCAAAGGTAGATCACTGGCACCTACTCCTTGCCGGCACATGGGCGTGGTAGTAGGATTGGGCGAAGGGTCGTTTCCAGATGAGTCCCATCTGCCTTTGGCCTTGGAGAAGGTGTGGCCCAGTGACAGTGATTAGAGGAGGGTGTGGCAACAGGCAGAGGAAATATGTGCGAAATAAGACCCGAGCAGGCTGTACTGCGGTTTTTTTCTGTTGTTTTTCTTGCAGTGGGAAGGGTTTAAGTGTGGAGGGAAGGGAGATAAAGAGATGGGAGCAAGTGGAGTGTGGGAAGAGCCCAGGCCACTACCCAGCTGTGAGGCTCTGGAGCCCAGGCTCTGGTCTGGTCCTGCGATCGCGAGGAGCTGGTAGAAGCGTAGCAGGTAGAAGAGTGCCGGGCTGCGCGCGCAACTGCTCCTAAGTCATGGAATCCTGTGTCTTGCTAGAGTAGTGGGAAGCCAGCACCTTTGAAATTACATACATTTGGATTCCAGTTATCCTTCTGTCCCTGGCTAGCTGACGACTTGAGAAAATTACTCCTGACTTTAAGTCATGTTTATTTGTAATACTAGGGCCTGGGATATAGCGCCTGCTAGGCAAGCGCGAGATCCTGAGTTCAATTCTCGGTACAAAAAAATATTTGTAATATTAGGCTAACTCGAAGTGGTTGTAAGGAACACTTATTCTTATTTTTGAATGACTTTGCTGCCACAGTCCCGCCCTCACAGCCTAAGGGCCAATGAGGGCAAGTTCACCACAGCCCCGACCCTCTACGTGCTGCTCCGCCCTCTTCCTCTTCAGACCAATCAGAGTGCGGTCCGCACGAGCTGTGCCCCTCCTCCTCTTCCACTCCAGCGCAAGTTGGCGCCTTCCGCGTCCCGCCGGGAGTGTGTGGCTGGTCAGCGTTGAGGGGCGGGGCCGAAGGACTGGACCAGCCTCCAAAGAGAGAAGCGGCTTCTGATTGGCTGCCTCCTCGCTTCTCGCTTCACCTGCGGCCCAGGTGACTCCCCGCCCCCGCCCCAGCCTGGCGCCCACTGCTCTCCCCGGCAGCTCGCAGTCACAAAGCCCTGAAGAGGCTGATGTGAGCCAGGAGGAAAAGCTTCTAATTAAAGGATTTTTCTGCGCTTCGGGCTCTGCTGAAGCACTGTACAGTACAGGATGTGATTTAATCCTCATAACAAACGAGGGAAAGGAGGCGCAGAGAGGTTTAGAAGCTGCGTTCCTAAGGAGACGTCTAGAGGCGACAAGGGGACAACAAAACAGAAAATGAGAGCTGAAGGAGAGAGAAAGGAGACCTGAAGGCAGACGGAAAAGGAAGTCATGGGGAAATCAAGCAGAGAAAAAGGGCAGGGTAATTAAGAAGGGAAGCGTTTTGCAGCCCGAAGAATCGAGAACTGGATGTGGTGGCGTCCTTCCAGCACTCAGGAGGCCGAGGCAGGAGGATCACTGCTAGTTTTAAGGGCAGCCTAGGCTACACAGCGAGACCCTGTTTTTAAAGGAGGGGGTACTGAAGGGTGAGATGCCAAGAGCGGGAGGTGCAGACCCCACACACAGAGGCGCAGGAGACCGCGCGGGCGAGTAGTCTTTATTGATGGCTCAGGGCGCGTCCAGCAGCAGCAACCGGTGCATGTACGAGTTCAGCCAGTGGCGGCGCTCGAGGGCGGCCAGCAGCCGCGCGCGCTCCCGGAAGGCCGCGTCGTCCGCCAGCGCCAGGCTGCGCCGCGACACCGACACCCGGTTGGCCGGACCCGCCCGGGCCTGGCGGGAGGTGCGGGGGCTGCGCGGACACGGGGAGGCCGGGTTACTGCGCGCCCGGGCCCGCCCGCCGGTTCTCCCTGCAGTCTAACTCCGAGCCCGGTTACTGCACCTGGGCAGGGGCTCCGCCTCCCCTCCCTTAGTTTCCCTCCGGCTCCCTCTGCTCCCTCGGTTCGGAGCGCCCCGAGGACCCAGGCCGATCCCGATCCTGGTCCGTGCCTGGCGCTCAGCTCGCGGCCTGGCGCAGGAGAACCCAGCCCGCGGGCACCAAGAATGAATCAGTGCCCAAGTCTCCGCGCCTCGCCCACGTCTCTCCCCGCATCCTTCTCCTGCGGGCTCCCCCGCCTACCTCTCCTTCCCCCTCCACGCCGGGTCACACTGTGCCCTCCCCTCTGGATCTCTTGGCCCTCTCTTTGGGTCTCTTGTTCCCTTTTCTCCGGGTCCCCACTCTCCCACGGGAGTCCTGGGCCTGGCACCTACCTGAGGACCCCCGCGAGGGGCAGAGCGACACCCGAGGCGGTGCGGGTGCCCCAGGGCACGAGCAGGAGCAGGAGCAGCAACAGCCGCATGCCGGGGCCCCTGGACACCTGGCGAGGCTCCATCACCTGTGGGGAGAGGAAGGGCTGAAGTCCGCATCCGAGCCCAGATCCAGGCCCCGCCAGCCGCCCACCCCCAGGCCGCCCGCAGGGCCCCCTACCGCGCAGTGTGCTGGGCAGCGACGCGGGCAGCCCCCTTATATGGCCTCCTCAGCCCCCGCACTGGGCAGTGACGCAGGCCGGGCCGGGGGCGCAGGGTCACCTCCCCCCCAGGCTCATTAGGAGCCGCTGGCGGTAATGAGGAGCCGGGGGTGGGGGCCTTGCCACTGCTTGGCCGCCACCAACTAATTGGGACCAGGAGCTGGGACCTCAGAGGAGGGAGGGGAGAGACAGACAGAGAGGTGGTCACAGGGGGTGTGTCAGAGGGATAAAAATAGAGGCTGTGGAGGGACCAGGAGAGCAGAAGTCAGAGACAGAGAGAGAAGGAAACGCAAGAGAGGAAGCGCTGCGGACTGGTGACGGGGACAGGCACAAAGGGAAGGGATAACCAGCGGAGGGACAGAGTCAGGGACCAAGGAAGCGAAGGGATGAAGAAAGAAGGGAGCAGCAGAGCAAAAAAAAAAAAAAATTAAAAAAAAAAAAATAAAAGGAAAAGAGAGAAGGAGATGGAGGCGCAGAGGAAAAGCTCTCGGGCAGACAGGACAGAGGCCTAGCGCCAGCCCGGCAGGGAGAGGCCAGCGAGACAGGAGAGCTGGGAGAAAGAAGAGGCCAGAGGTGGCAAAGAGCACCTGTGGCAGGGCTCTATGGACAGGTGAGATGAAGGGCAAACTCGCAAACTCAGCCTGGAAGGCGCCGTGAAGCAGGGACACAGACAAGGACCCTGAGTTCTGGGCAGAGTTGGGATATTGTGACGATGAAGCCCAATCCACAAACTGACTCTTACAGTTTATTGTTTCATTTTGAGACAGGATTTCACTATGTAGCCCAGCCTGGCCTCAAACTCATGGCAATCCTCCTGCTTCAGCCTCCTGAGTGCAGGGATTACAGGTGTATACCACCACACCTGACTAAAAGGGGACTTCTACACCCAGATGTGGGCAAAGGTCAGAAGTCCTAAAGGACAGGACAATCTAGGCCATGGGAACTTGGACTTCTAGTGCCCCAGAGAGGAGGGAGACCGAGCTTGGACTCCTAGGCCTACGACTGGATGAGACAAGGTGGAGCTGGAAAAGGAGGGGCCAGAGATCTGGATTCCTGTGTTCAGAGACAGGAGGGGCTGGAGGCCCAGCCTCCCGGGTCTGAGCAGAGGGAGCTGGGGCCCTGGCTCAGGGGAGCTAAAGTAGCAAGGAACCAGGGACCTGGACCCCTGAGCTTGGGAGGAGAGGACAGAGAATCCTTGGTTTCAAAGATGGCCTCCATCCCTGTCCCTTTAAGAGCCTCAGTGTGTTGCTAGGCTCCCAGGATCCCAAGGGAGAGGGTCAGGTGCGTCACCTGTGCACCTATGGGACCCTATGCTGCCCCACCTGGAGACAGTCTGCGGCGTTCACCTGTTTCTGCATCCAGCTCCGTTCACCTGCTGCTACCTTGGACCCCACTGAGCAGGTAAGAGACCCCAGGCCCCCAGCGATGCTGTCCCATACAGGCGCTGCCGCCTCCACCTTCCCACAGATTGTGTGTGTGTTCAGATCAGCCCCGGGATGCTGAGGGTCTGCTGCATCCTGAGTTAACAGGGAGCCCAGAGTTCCCGCAGCAGGCTATAAAGTCCAGGCCTCTGTTGCTGGAGGACTTAGAGCTCCTCAACTCCTTGCAGCTCAGGCCCCAGAATCACGACCCAGGTCCCCCAGCCTCACTCCTAGGAAAGTGCAGGCATCTGAACCCCCAGGTTGCTCAGCTCTGGAAAGAACCAGGGATGTAGACCCCCAGCCCCTCTCCCTGGGGGACCTAGGAGCCTGAACCCCCAGCAACCTCCCTACCCTGGGGCCAAGAGTCTCGCTCCTCCCTCAGGCTCCAGACGCCAGCCCCAGCCCTTCCTTCTGAGCCTTCTGTCGTGTAAAGAACCTTGAGTCTAGTGTCTTGGGGGCCCTGGGAGATGAAGGTGACCCCTGCGCCCTAGAGATCTGACACCATCCAAAACTAGTCCAGGATTTCTGCGGGCTTAGAAAGACATTATACTTCCCCAATTTTTCTGGGGAAACCAGGGAAGTATCTGCGCCTCCCAAGAAGCCGGCGCCCCTGCCTCCCTTTGATACTGACCCCCAGCTCCAGCCGTTGTAGCGGGGCTCTGCGCCCTTCTCTGGCGCCAAGCAGGGCCCTGAAGGACCTGTTCACCTGGGAACCAGTACCTCGGAGGGGCCTGGGGTGTGGGCGGGGCCTCGAGGAGTGGGCGGGACTCCGGGAGGCTTTGGGTTTGACCTGTCCTTCCCACCTCCCCTCCCAGCTAGAGGCATCCAGCGCTATGAAATTCTTCAGTCGGATCCTCTTCCTCCTGGTCTTCCTCCTCGCCCTCCTGGGCTCCCAGGCCGCACCTTCAGCCTCTCCGCCCACGGGCTCCCATTTCCAGGGGATGGGCCACCCCGAGGTGACCTCCCCTGGCGCTTCTGAAAACACCACTGGAGACTGGCCTAACCTGCAATTCCCTGGAACTGTTCGTCCTGAGCCCCCCAATATGCCTCATGCAGTTTCCCCTGAGACCACCCCCCTTGAGGCCACTGAGACCCCCAGGCCTGATCTCCTAGACACCCCACACCCACAGTCTCCTGAGACCTCCCAGCCTGACCCACTCACAACCTCAGTATCAGAATCCCCGGACAGCCGCCACACGAACCCCTCCAGAGCAACACACCCAGAGCCCCCCGAGACCCCCGATCCTGCCCTGACAGACGCCTCACGCCCCGGATCTTCTGAAACCCCCAAACCTAGTCCCTCAAAACCAACACCCTCACAATATCCTGAGACCCTAAATACTCACCCTGTGCAGACCACACACCAGCCCCCAGAGGTCCCCACACTTAACACGACAGAAATCTCACACGTTAACAGCCCTGACCCCACCAAGCCTCTTGACACCGAATCTCCAGAAACCCATGATCTTGGCACCACTGACATCTCGAACTCTCAAGTCCCCCTGACCTTCCGGCCTGACCCCGCTGAGACCCTGCTTCCAGAGTCTCAGGGGGCCCGTCACCCCAGTCCCACCGAGATGCCCCAGACAGAGCTCCCCACAGCCCACCATCAGGATGCAACCGAGATCCCTAAAACCTCCGCCCTCGACCCTGAAACCCCTGCACCTTTCAAGGACGCGGCCCCCGCCCTCGGTGAGCTGCGCCTAAGTCCCCACCCCTCCCTCTCGGCCACCCAGCCTGACGCCTCTCGCCCGCCCACCTCAGATTCTCCAGGGACCCTTGAGCCGAAGGCCTCCCCAAACTCTGACCCCAAAGGCCCAAGCACCCCAAGCACCCCTCCGCCCTCAGCCCGGATTGTGGGGCCCCCTGCTCCTCCAGAGCCCCCTAGTCAGCTGCTCCCGGCGACCCCTCGGGCTCCGCAGCGGCGCAGCCGGGGTGAAAGAGTGAACACTATCATCGTGGTGGAGCACGTGAAAGAGACGGGTGAGCGGCGGGATCGGAGGTGGGTCTGAGGGAGGAGCGGGCTAGGGTTTCGAATCACTGGGCTCCTTCCTCAGGCGTGACTCTGGTGGGGCGCCCGCGCGGCTCGACTGGAGGCGCCCTGTGCCTGTTCTTCGCTGGGACTGGGCTGTTCATCCTCATCGCCCTGCTGCTGTGGTGTCTCTACCGGCGGGCTGCCCGCCACCGGCCCTTCGCACACCGCCGGCTCCCGGACGGCGGAGACGAACCTGGTGAGCGCTGCGTTCCCTTGATCACCCGCTTGTTTCCTCGCCCTGCTCTCGCTGGCCACTTTCTGGCGCCAGAAATAAAGTACAGGTCCGCCATTCAGTCAGTGAAAGTCTTGGCCCCTCCGTGATCACGTCTGGCCCTAATGACCCGAGATGTCATGCACGCGCGCAGGTCCTCCGCTAGCGCAGGTGAAACCTGCCGGGAGCCCGGAGCCGCGGGTCCCTGAGCGGACCCAGCCAATCCCGAGTGCAGGCCGCCCGAAGCCCCGCCCCTCGCCTTAAACCCCGCCCTCCGCAGCTCCCCACACCTCCTCATTTATTCAAGGGGCCTCCCGCTTTTCTTTACAAACCCAGTTCCCGGGATGACCTGAATCCCCTCTCCTGGGCTCCTCATTGGCCAGAGGCCTAGCAGTGGGACAGGCTCGATCGGCTGGGGATGACTCTCCCTTTGCTCCCACAGTTATGCATCTGGACGCTCCGAAGGAGCCCTACGACTTCTACTTTTATGCGCCAGACGCCTGGGTCCCTTCGCACATCTCCACCAAGCAGCCGCCGCCCACACCCCCACTGCCACCCAAGCTCCCCCCACCGCCCCGCGGGGGACGTCCCCAGCGCCTAGAACCACTGTCCCCCGAAACGCTCCCCAACAACTTCGTATGAGCCCCGTTGGTGCCTCCAAGCCTGCACATTCCCAAGAGAGAGGAGACTCTTGCATCCTGTCCTCCCGGATTCTTTGCTACTTAGTGGGCCTCTTGGATAAAGGGCCCAGCACACAGATGCTTTCGTGCAATTGGAGAACAAGGCTGAATAAACCAGATGTCTGCATGACTATGCCTCCTTGGCGGGGGTGGGGGGGTGGGGGGGTCCCACTGGCTTTGGAGTCTATTGGCATTGAGGATTAGGGGCTTGACTTTCTCTCTGGAGAGAGGAAAGGGCTAGGAGCTGGGACGCCTGGTCTGAGAGAGGGGGCTGGGGCCAGCACTCGTGAGACCCAGAGCCAGTGATCACTCAGTGTAGACCAAAGCATTTTATTGGGAGTGGGGTTGGGCAGGATTTACAGTCACAGAGACAGAGACACCAAGACACAGCCCTGCCCGAAGATGAACACCCCTCTCCCCGCCCCCTTCTCTTTCCTGGGATTCTGCGACTTCTACATATGTTCCCAAATTCTAGGCTGAAGGGGGGGTTGTGTGAGAGGGGAAGAATCCCAGATTTTTAAGTCATTTAGCCCCTTAGGGACACAACAAATGGCCACTGAGAAACTGAGGGTAGTCTGAAACCACCCGGGAGAATAAAGTGCAAGGAACTGGGCAGAAGAGGGGCATCTAGAAACCACCAGAGGGAAGTCAAAGGTGGTGGCTTCAAACCACTGAATTAATAGACTTCAGCAGCCACTATTTAGACCTGAAAACTGTGTCAAAGAAAGTGCATGGGGTGGAGAGAGGCATATTATCAAAACGGCCGTTTTGGTTTTTTCCCCTAGGCATGGCACAAAGCTAGGGATAAGACGGGGACCTGGTGCTTCAGCAGAACCCGCTAGGGGCTGGGGGGCTTGAAACCGCCATTTTCCCTCAGAAACGCTGGTGAGAATCAATCCCTGGAATGGCGGGGATGGGTGGTTGGTGAACCCAACCTGGAAGATGCAGAACGGAGTCAGGAGAGATTTGGAACTTCTAGAGGAGGACCTTGAACTTTTCTGAGAGGGGGTGCTGAGTAATTTCAGGGGTCAGCCTGAGAATCCCTGGGGTCAGAGGAAAGAAGGAGTTGCCTCAAAACCACAACAGTACAAGGTTGAACTGTCCATTCAAATAAAGCCCTGAAAGGAGAGATTTGAAACCACTGAGGCAGCACAAATTGAGAAGGGAAACTTTAGGGAATTTGGGTATCCTTGAAACCACCAGTCTGCGGCTTCACTACCCCTGAGAGGCAGTTGGGAAGGGAAGAGGTTTTGACAGCACTGGGAACAAGGAATAGTACTTCTTAGGCCTGAAGCAGAACAGAGGACTGGGGTCCCTTGACACTGTTACTCAGGCCAGAGTTGTGTGGAATGGAGGTCCTGGAAACTGCCATTCAGTGGGAGGCACATGGTCAGTAGTCCCGGACAGGGGGTGGGGGCCTCGGGGGCTGAACTGTGCTGTGTATAGCCCCATAGGAAGGAGGTGGGGCAGGAGGAGCCCCAGGAGGCTCAGCCTCGTCCTCCATGTCACTCTCGTCACTGCCAGCCAGCTGGTCGTGGCCAACGAAGCCACACTTCTCCTCACTCATCTCCTCTGGCTCGGCCCACGGCTGCTTCTCTCCGGAAGCGAAGACCCCGTAGAAGATGACGCCCCCATAGTGCACCAGGGAGGCGATGAGGAACACGTACTGCCACTCCTCCCGCGTCTGTGGGGGGACCACAGGGATGGGGTCAGAGAAGGCACCAGGGAAGCGGGGTGCCGCAGGGCCGGCGGGCGCCCACCTTGTGCTTGGTCATGGCGCCCACGATGATGGGGCACACCATGCCCGACAGCGTGCCCACGCCGTTGGAGATGCCCATGAGGATGCTGGCGTAGCGCGGTGCGATGTCCAGGTGGTTCACGTTGAACCCTGGCGGGAGAAAAGCAGGCGGCATCACACTAGGACGCTCCTGCCACCCTCCGTGGGTGCACCTTTGCGAGGCCGGGAGCCCCGTCCCGAGCTGAGCAGAGCCCCCCAGCTGCAGATCTGTGCTTCTCACCCGAGATGGCGAAGCCGCTGAAGCCCACGGCGAGAACCAGGAAGGAGATGGCGACGCCCTTGGAGTGCGAGTAGCCGACCACCAGCAGAAGCGTGGCTTCCATGCCGAAGCCTGCAGAGGGCCGGGTCTGCTGAGCGCCCCCAGTCCCAGGTATCGCCCCTCATTCCAGCAGCTCCGCCCACGATCCCAGCACCTGTGCCCCATGCGGGCCCTCTTTGGCCCCAGTGCTGAAGATCCAGAATCCAAGCCCGATCTGTGCACCTTCTCACCTTTCCTCTCTGCTCCCACTCACAGCCCCTCTTTCTCCCTATCCATGGCCTGCTCCGCGCAGCCCCGTGCAAGCCTCACCCCCACACCCTCAGCTGGATCGCCCTTCAGACCATTCCGGGCTGTGGCCTCAGCCTGACTCGGGGGTGGGGGCAGGGGGGAATCTCCTCGGTGCAGCCCCGCCCTCACCCTAGCTCTGTCCAATCAGCTTCGCCTTTGACCAAGGTTCTGATCATACCCCACCCCTCGGCCCCCATTGGTTCTGCCCCGGGGGCTGCTCCGCCCTCGGCCACGCCCAGGCCACGCCCACTCACCACCACAGTTCATCAGCTTGCGCACGTTGGTGGTGGACATGATGCGGCGGCTCCGCAGGAAGTCGGCAATCTGGCCGCCAATGGGCACGATGATGGTCATGACCAGGTGGGGCAGCGCCGAAACCAGGCCTACCTACAGGAGCAGGGTACACGGCTGCGGAGAGGGCGTCAGGGGCTGCCACTCGGGCCTCTGCTCCCTGCGTCGCCGTGCAGGCCCCGCTCCGGTCTCCTGTCCTCCTACTGGGCCCTACCTTGCTGATCTCGAAGCCGAACACTTCTTCAAAGTAGGCGGGCTGGGAGATGAGGAGCAGGTAGAACGTCCAGCTGCGGCAGAAGTTGGCCACAATGATGGCGTAGACCGGCATGGACGTGAAGAAGCGCCGCCAGGGGGTGTTAAACTTCTGGGGGTGGAAGGGGCTGCTAAGACGGAGCCCAGGGCCGGGGACTTCGCCAGGTCCCTTGGGGACCTCACTAGACTCGCTCAAAGACCCAGGGACCCTGATCTCACTGAGACTTCAGGGACTCCACGGGCGTCGCCATCTCCTTCCTGATTCTCGCCGTGGGCTTCAGGTCCCCGGCAATCTCACCTTGACAGTTCACGGCTGCAGGACTGGCGCCGGGCTCGCAGTGACCCCTCAGGTTCGAAGGTGTCTGGGCCCCACAGTAACCCTCAGTGACCCATAAATGGGAGCCCAGGAGTCTCTTACTATTCAATCACACCCCTCAAGTGCATCCTCACTCACCCAAAGGACTAGTTTTTTGAGACAGGGCCTCCCTCTGTATTCCAGGTTGGCCTTGAATCACTGTGTAGCGCCGGCTGCCCTGGAATCTGTGATCCTGCCTGTGATGCCCCTGCCTCCCCCTCCCAAGTGCTGGGATCACAGGTGTGTGCCACCAGGTGCGGCCACATTCAAATCCCCACATTCTAATCCGGTCCCCGCTGCTTTTGACCAAACCTCAACCGTGCTTCTAGTTTCCTCCACCACTGCCAAGCTCTCCACCAGGCGCTATCAGGCTCTCAGGTTCCACTCTACCTCCCCCCACCTCTTTCTTCGGTTCAGTCCTGTCTCCTCTGAGAGTGTGGAGGACCCTGCCAGGATCTACATAGGGTGCAGGCTCGAGCCCCACTGTGCCCCCGCCCCTCCTCGCAGACTCTGCCCGGACCGTGAGGGGGTTCATGAGCTTGGCGCTCTCGCCGATGGCGTCCTCGATGTACTTGCGCTCCTCCTCCGAGATGCTGGGGTGCAGGGCAGGGGACTCGTAGGAGACGAGCAACCAAAACAGGTACCAGAAGATCCCGAAGCTGCCTGGGGGTGGTCAGGAGGGGGACGGGAGCAGAGTGACAACGGGTCCCGCTCTGCCCCAGAGCCACCCGGAACCAGGCGTCCGGGTCCCTCACCGTAGACGTAGAAAACAGAGCTCCATCCCGAATACTGCACCAGGACCCCAGCGAGAGGCATCGCGACCACTGCCCCAGCATAGGAACCTAATGGGGCGCGGGTGAACAGAGAACGCGCCCATCTTCCCTTGATCCTTGAAGAAAGACCCCCCAGCCCTCGCCTTTCTGCGACACAGAGGTACAGGCCGCAGGCCCTTTCCTCACTCGCAGGAGCTGTGTCCCCTCTCTCTTCCTCTTACCGCAAAAGGCTGTCGTGGCCAGGCGACTCCGTTCTAAGGGTGGGGCCCATTTGCTCCAGATCCCATGGCATGCGGGGTACGTGACCCCCTGGGGAGGAGAACACTCAGGTCAACGAGAAAAGGGCGGGTCAGGGGGCGGGCCGGGTCTTATGAGGCTGGGCTTTACCTCTACCAACCCCTGCAGGATCCTCACGAAGATGACACAGCCATAGTGGACGCGAGCGGCCGACGGGATCAGCATGTTTAGCGTGGAGGTGGCCACAATGGCAAAGCCGAAAACCCTGACGTGAAGGTGAAAGAAACGGGTCCAGCTACCCGCCACCCTTACCACACCACCTCCTGGGGGGACTCCTACCTGGCCCAATGTAAGCCCCACCCCAGCCCGACCCCTCCCATTTTCTCGAAATCAGACCTCCCCCATTGAAAATCACACTCACTCCACCCGCACAACTGTAGCTCCTACCCATCTTGAGGACCCACCAAGGTACCTGTTGGCTGCGAATTTTTGGCAGATAAATCCTCCGGGAATCTGAGTGACAATGTAGCCCCAGAAAAAAGAGCCATGTATGAGGCCGACAGTTTCTGGGTCCCAGGAGAACTGGGCTTGCTGTGGATGAAAAGGCGCATTAAATCAGCAGCCCTGCCCCAAGGCTCTGCCCTTCACCAGTCAGCAACCCGCAGACGTAGAACCTCAGCCAATCATCAAGGACTGTCTCACGCTTCCAAAGCACTTGCCAATCAGGGCTCGTGCCACCACCCTCAGTCAACAACTCTGCTCTTCAAAATGCTAGGGCCAGTGCTACCGCCTTAAGAACGAGGCCTGTGGCTGCCTAAATGCCTGGTGCGGCCTGCTTCCTGCCTCAGGCCCCCTCCCTGAATGTCTC